GCTGCTCTAAGGTCTCCCTGGAGCCTTCCCCAGCAGCCCCTGGCACAAGACACACCCTGGGTTCCCCTCTGTGGGCTTTATTGCCCAGTTTTTGGTGGGCCACTGAGTCAGGACCCAGCTTTGCTCTGTGCCTTGTGACCCTCAGGGACAGTTAAAGGGGCTGGTGCTTGGGGGCTCCTGCTGGCCCAAGCAGAGGCTCAGCATTCCCATCTGCCACCATCTGGGGCTTTTAGCTCTTCCTTTTCATCCTGGGGCACCTTGACCCCCTTGGCTGGTGGGAGATGGACCCACTGGGAGCTGTGTGGGATGGGACCCACCACCCCACTGCCCTGAGGAACATCCTGAAAAAAAAAAGGAGGCTGGTGAGTGCCTGGCTCTGGTATCCTCAGCTGCTCCTTCCCCTTTTCCAGGGGGAAGTGCTGAGTTGTGTTTGTTGCTGTTTTTTGGGTGTGTTCCTCTTGTTTTGATCCATATCACCCTGGAGCAGCTCTGCTCTGGAGCCAGGCTGGGAGAGTTGGGGTGTTCAGCCTGGAGAGGAGAAGGCTGCAGGGAGACCTTAGAGCAGCTTCCAGTGCCTGAAGGGGCTCCAGGAAAGCTGGGGAGGGGCTTGGGACAAGGGCAGGGAGGGAGAGGACAAGGGGAAAGGGATTAAAACTGGAAGAGGGCGATTGAGTTTGGACATGAGGAGGAAATTCTTTGGTGTGAGGGTGGTGAGAGCCTGGCCCAGGTTGCCCAGGGAAGCTGTGGCTGCCCCATCCCTGGCAGTGTTGAAGGGCAGGTTGGATGGGGCTTGGAGCAGCCTGGGCTGGTGGGAGGTGTCCCTGCCCATGCAGGGGGTTGGGACTGGGTGGTCTTTAAGGTTCCTTCCCACCCAAACCAGTCTGGGATTCCATGTGTTTTCCCAGGATGGCTGGATTCAGGAGCCCCCTGTCTCCAGGAAGGGGACAGCTGAGCTCTGCCACCTCCCTGGGATCAGAGCCACATGGTGGCTCTGAAATGTGATCCTGGGAGGAAGATCTTGTCCTGCCTTCAGCCCTGGGAGCTCAGCTGTGGGAGCACCAGGTTGATGAGCAGTAGATGCTCCAGACCATGGGGCTTCTCTCAGCTGTGCCATGGGCTCCTGGGTGCTGCATCCCATGGGCAAAATGACCTTGTTAGCACCATGTCCATCAGGGAATGTTCAGAGCAGCACCTGGCAGGACCCTTCTGTGTGGGGCCTGACCCTGGGGGGTGTTTTCCACCTCCAGGCAGGTGGGAGGGGAGCTTGGGGGGCAGAGTAGTGTGGTCACCATGGTGCTGGGGGGGCTCAGGGGAGCAGCCTTGCTCTGGGTCTTGTGGAGCTCTTGAATTCAGTTGTCCTACCTAAGGTCAGGGATAAAAGGCCTTGGAGAGCCCCTCTTCTGCCAGCAGCTGGGGCTGAGCTCCCCCCCATTTCCAGCTGGGCTCCCCCCCCATTTCCAGCTGGGTTCCCCCCCATTTCCAGCTGGGCTCCCCCCCAGCTCCAGCTGGGCTCCCCACATCTCCACCTTGCCAGCTGGGAGTTGCAGGAGGGGTGGCTGGTGGCACCTCTCTCTGCTGATGTCACCTGTGGGTGGGGGCTTCCAGGAGACCACCTGCCACCTCCCGTGGCTTTGGTGACCACCTGAGGGCAGAGGAAAGGGCTGGGATGGGGTGAGAGCCCTTGTGCCCTGGGACAGGGGGGGTCTGTGGTCCCAAGGGGGGGAGATTTGTGCCCCAGAACAGAGCCAGGGAGCCCCGGCAAGGGGGTGGCTGAGCTGTGGGTGCTCTCTCCAGCACCCAAATCCCTTCCAGCCCCTTGGATCCAGGGGTTGGGGGAGGGATTCACCTCCGGGGGGGTTAGGGGGGCTGTGCTGGTGGCAGGTG